TCTGTGTATAAAACATTCTTGTCCAGAACCTTCTGGGTAAAAAACACAAATAGAGATGTGTACAAATAGACTGCAGAAAAAGGTTGTTAAGCTTCCGAAGGTGGTGAATGTTAATTATTACAGCAGCTGTATATGTCACACTTAACCATACAAAACAGTGCTAAACCTCTACATGTGAAATAAAACACTATCCACGCTGTGCCAGGAAACATTATACAGGTAAATTGGTATAACAAGAAACATCAGTCACAAAATGGAGAGAAAAGTGTGGCATAAAATCCAAAGGTAAAAATGTGAGTGAAGAACTTTCAAAATAACAGTTTACCTGCTGCTGAGCAGTGCAAAGCAAAGTTCAAATTTTGGCATTAATAAGTGCTCTACAATGTCCGTTTTATTCTGTAAAACCTTGTTCTAGGAAAATATAATTCACAACATAGAAACAATACATACATATATATATAAATATAATGACTGGGATGTTTTTATGACTTCACAGAATTTCAGGTTTGTTCAAGACATGTACACAATGGTGTTAAGGTTAATCTGCCTGGGGACAAGTTGCCTATAATATCATATATGTTATGTATTGTAATATACTAAACAAATTATATGAACATCAGATACAACATACCTGACAGTTTGTCTGAAGGTCTGTCCTAAAACACTCCTGACAGTCTGTCTGAAGGTCTGTCCTACAACACACCTGACAGTTTGTCTGAAGGTCTGTCCTACAACATACCTGACAGTTTGTCTGAAGGTCTGTCCTAAAACACTCCTGACAGTCTGCCTGAAGGTAAGTCCTACATCATACCTGACAGTCTGTCTGAAGGTCTGTCCTACAACATACCTGACAGTTTGTCTGAAGGTCTGTCCTAAAACACTCCTGACAGTCTGTCTGAAGGTAAGTCCTACATCATACCTGACAGTCTGTCTGAAGGTCTGTCCTACAACATACCTGACAGTTTGTCTGAAGGTCTGTCCTAAAACACTCCTGACAGTCTGTCTGAAGGTCTGTCCTACAACATACCTGACAGTTTGTCTGAAGGTCTGTCCTAAAACACTCCTGACAGTCTGTCTGAAGGTAAGTCCTACAACATACCTGACACTTTGTCTGAAGGTCTGTCCTACATCATACCTGACACCTTGTCTGAAGGTCTGTCCTACAACATACCTGACAGTTTGTCTGAAAGTCTGTCCTAAAACACTCCTGACAGTCTGTCTGAAGGTCTGTCCTACAACATACCTGACACTTTGTCTGAAGGTCTGTCCTACATCATACCTGACACCTTGTCTGAAGGTCTGTCCTACAACATACCTGACAGTTTGTCTGAAGGTCTGTCCTAAAACACTCCTGACAGTCTGTCTGAAGGTCTGTCCTACAACATACCTGACAGTTTGTCTGAAGGTAAGTCCTACAACATACTTGACAGTTTGTCTGAAGGTATGTCCTACAACATATCTTACAGGTTGTCTGAAAATCTGTCCTACAACATACCTTACAGTTTATCAGTCTGTCCTACATACCTGACAGTTTGTCTGAAGGTCTGTCCTACAACATACCTGACAGTTTGTCTGATAGTCAGTCCTATATACCTGGCAGTTTATGTGTAGGTTTGTCCTACATACCTGATATTTTGTCAGTCTGTCCTACATACCTGACAGTTTGTGTGTAGGTCTGTCCTACATAGCTGACAGTTTGTCTGAAGGTCAGTCATAAATATCTGACAGTTTGTCTGAAGGTCTGTCCTACAACATACCTGACACTTATTCTGAAGGTCTGTCCTACAACAGACCTGATAGTTTGTCTGAAGGTCAGTCATAAATATCTGACAGTTTGTCTGAAGGTCTGTCCTACAACAGACCTGATAGTTTGTCTGAAGGTCAGTCATAAATATCTGACAGTTTGTCTGAAGGTAAGTCCTACAACAGACCTGATAGTTTGTCTGAAGGTCAGTCATAAATATCTGACAGTTTGTCTGAAGGTAAGTCCTACAACAGACCTGACAGTTTGTCTGAAGGTCAGTCATAAATATCTGACAGTTTGTCTGAAGGTCTGTCCTACAACATACCTGACACTTATTCTGAAGGTCTGTCCTACAACAGACCTGATAGTTTGTCTGAAGGTCAGTCATAAATATCTGACAGTTTGTCTGAAGGTCTGTCCTAAAACACTCCTGACAGTCTGTCTGAAGGTCAGTCATAAATATCTGACAGTTTGTCTGAAGGTCTGTCCTACAACATACCTGACATTTTGTCTGAAGGTCTGTCCTAAAACACTCCTGACAGTCTGTCTGAAGGTCTGTCCTACAACATACCTGACAGTTTGTCTGAAGGTCTGTCCTAAAACACTCCTGACAGTCTGTCTGAAGGTAAGTCCTACAACATACCTGACAGTTTGTCTGAAAGTCTGTCCTAAAACACTCCTGACAGTCTGTCTGAAGGTCTGTCCTACAACATACCTGACACTTTGTCTGAAGGTCTGTCCTACATCATACCTGACACCTTGTCTGAAGGTCTGTCCTACAACATACCTGACAGTTTGTCTGAAGGTCTGTCCTAAAACACTCCTGACAGTCTGTCTGAAGGTCTGTCCTACAACATACCTGACAGTTTGTCTGAAGGTAAGTCCTACAACATACTTGACAGTTTGTCTGAAGGTATGTCCTACAACATATCTTACAGGTTGTCTGAAAATCTGTCCTACAACATACCTTACAGTTTATCAGTCTGTCCTACATACCTGACAGTTTGTCTGAAGGTCTGTCCTACAACATACCTGACAGTTTGTCTGATAGTCAGTCCTATATACCTGGCAGTTTATGTGTAGGTTTGTCCTACATACCTGATATTTTGTCAGTCTGTCCTACATACCTGACAGTTTGTGTGTAGGTCTGTCCTACATAGCTGACAGTTTGTCTGAAGGTCAGTCATAAATATCTGACAGTTTGTCTGAAGGTCTGTCCTACAACATACCTGACACTTATTCTGAAGGTCTGTCCTACAACAGACCTGATAGTTTGTCTGAAGGTCAGTCATAAATATCTGACAGTTTGTCTGAAGGTAAGTCCTACAACAGACCTGATAGTTTGTCTGAAGGTCAGTCATAAATATCTGACAGTTTGTCTGAAGGTAAGTCCTACAACAGACCTGACAGTTTGTCTGAAGGTCAGTCATAAATATCTGACAGTTTGTCTGAAGGTCTGTCCTACAACATACCTGACACTTATTCTGAAGGTCTGTCCTACAACAGACCTGATAGTTTGTCTGAAGGTCAGTCATAAATATCTGACAGTTTGTCTGAAGGGAAGTCCTACAACAGACCTGATAGTTTGTCTGAAGGTCAGTCATAAATATCTGACAGTTTGTCTGAAGGTAAGTCCTACAACATACCTGACATTTTGTCTGAAGGTCTGTCCTACATCATACCTGACACCTTGTCTGAAGGTCTGTCCTACATCATACCTGACACCTTGTCTGAAGGTCTGTCCTAAAGCATATCGAACAGGTTGTCTGAAGGTCTGTCCTACATACCTGACAGTTTATGTGTAGGTCTGTCCTACACAAGACAGTATAATATAGGACTTGTAAACTGATTGTTTGTCAATATGTCAGTTTATATATTAGGACTAGGTGTTCTACACTGAATTAGTGGACAAAATTTATTCTGACTGTAACTCCACAAAATCTGAAGGCAGAAATGGAGGTAGGAAAGTTGAATTTATAAATAAAAACTTACAACATTGCTTAATACTGGACAAACAACAATGTTTATATAGGTAACAACACATGGTAATCACACATTTTACTTTGGTAAAGATCTTTGTAGCTGGCAACTGTAAAATGTGTGATAATCGGTGTACAGCCATACATAAAGCCACTTACAATGTGTAATGTTATCTAGCAGCTGATATATACTGCTCTACTGGTTATAAAGCAACCACAGAATGGTAAGACATCAGTGACCACAGAATGGCTAGACACCAGTGACCACAGAATGGCCAGACACCAGTGACCACAGAATGGTAAGACATCAGTGACCACAGAATGACTAGACACCAGTGACCACAGAATGGCTAGACACCAGTGACCACAGAATGGCCAGACACCAGTGACCACAAAATGGCCAGACACCAGTGACCACAGAATGGCTAGGCACCAGTGACAACAGAATGACTAGACACCAGTGATCACTGAATGGCCAGACACCAATGACCACAAAATGACTAGGCACCAGTGACCACAGAATGACTAGACACCAGTGACCACAGAATGGCTAGGCACCAGTGACCACATAATGACTAGACACCAGTGACCACAGAATGGCTAGACACCATTGACCACAGAATGACTAGACACCAGTGACCACAGAATGGCTAGGCACCAGTGACCACAGAATGGCTAGGCACCAGTGACCACATAATGACTAGACACCAGTGACCACAGAATGGCTAGACACCAGTGACCACATAATGACTAGACACCAGTGACCACAGAATGGCTAGACACCAGTGACCACAGAATGACTAGGCACCAGTGACAACAGAAAGACTAGACACCAGTGATCACAAAACGGCCAGACACCAGTGACCACAGAATGGCTAGGCACCAGTGACCACAGAATGGCTAGACACCAGTGACCACAGAATGGCTAGATACCAGTGACCACAGAATGGTATGACATCAGTGACCACAGAATGGCTAGATACCAGTGGCCACAGAATGACTAGAATCCGTGACCACAGAATGGCTAGGCACCAGTGTCCACAAAATGGCTAGACACCAGTGACCACAGAATGGCCAGACACCAGTGACCACAGAATGGCCAGACACCAGTGACCACAGAATGGCCAGACACTAGTGACCACAGAATGGCTAGACACCGGTGACCACAGAATGGCCAGACACCAGTGACCACAGAATGGCTAGACACCAGTGACCACAGAACGGCTAGACACCAGTGACCACGGAATGGCCAGATTCCAATAATTAGCATTACTCACCTGTCTTTGATATAACGCATCATACCAAGAGCAATTATTTTCATCGTGGCTTCAATGATGAAAACACTTGTGAAAAAGTAATTGAATATCTTCAAAGCAAATTGCAGCTCCTGAAATTCAAGCATCGTTTTATTAGAAATACTTCATCAATATTACACAAACAGGAACTTTTGTCTTATTAGAAATATGTCATCAATATTACACAAACAGGAACTTTTGTCTTATTAGAAATACATCATCAATATTACACAAACAGGAACTTTTGTCTTATTAGAAATACATCATCAATATTACACAAACAGGAACTTTTGTCTTATTAGAAATACATCATCAATATTACACAAACAGGAACTTTTGTCTAATTAGAAATACATCATCAATATTACACAAACAGGATTTTTTGTCTTATTATAAATATGTCATCAATATTACACAAACAGGAACTTTTGTCTCCATTTTATATGAGATATATCAAAACATTTTAGTATTTCTTAATTTTCGGTGACGTAAGGGGACTCAAGATATTCCTGTTCATACAAATATCAATTAAAAGAGGCCAACAGGGCCTTTATTACTCAACTAAATATTAAAGAAAAGACAGTGAAATAAAGTCTGTCACACATTAAATATTAATGTCTTTGACATCACTGACATCTGTCACACAATATATATAAATGTCTTTAATGTCACTGACATCTGTCACACAATATATATAAAGGTCTTTAATATCAGTGACATCTGTCACACAGTATATATAAATGTCTTTAATGTCAGTGACATCTGTCACACAGTATATATAAATGTTTTTACTATCAGTGACATCTGTCACACAATATATATAAATGTCTTTAATGTCAGTGACATCTGTCACACAGTATATATAAATGTCTTTAATGTCACTGATGTCACACAGTATACTTACAGCAGGCATCATGTAGTACTCCATAGCCATAGTGATGACATTTAATCCTATGACTCCAGCGATGGCTAGATCAAAGTATTTACTATTGACAACAGCGTGGATGAGGAGACGACATTTGGAATAATTAGCCCAGTATGGAGGTCTGTTGAGCTCTATAAACAAGTTCAAAAACTTTACACATGAGAAAAGATTGAAAACTGTTATCTCTATTTCCATGTTTAAAAACTAATTTCACAAAATATTTTACAATATGTTGAAATAAAAGAGATTTCATTTCATATCATTCCCTTTCAAAATATTTTTTTTTCAAAATCCGCTGCTTTTTAATGTTTTCATTAAAGTATCCAACAAGAGACCCACCTGACATTTTTGTTGTAAGTAAACAAAAAGAATGTCATTATGGTATTTGCTTTTTATAAACAACGTTAGTGTTTTTATCAAATTACCAGTATTTTTTAAACAAGTTTCTATTTACCATAATAGGCCCTGCCCTCCTGCGGAACCTTGATTTACATAAAATTGAGATCCCCCACTCAAGTGTATTTACAGCAAAATTTGGTCAGAATACTTTAATTGCAACAGGAGAAGACTGATTTAAAAAATCACATCTAATTACCCTATTGGGGCATCAATATGGAAGTTTGAAGTGACTGTTCTATGTTCCTACTGAACTCCACCCACTACCTAACTTCTTATAGACACCCTTTTGTACTTTATGGCCCCACAGAGGTCAGAGCCACCATTAGTATTTCCCCCTTTTGGCCAAAGTCCTTAGGCCCTTTTGGCCCAAAAAATACCATTCATAAAAAAACTGTTCTCTTCCCCTCAAAGATGTTTTTATACCAAATTTGTTCAAAATCCATAGAGACTAATTGTGAAACCAGATCCAGACACTCTAACATAAGACAATGTAATAAAGACTGTTATAACAGGAATGCTTGTATTTCAGTTGCATTAGCCCATGTTCTCACTCTTTCTCTTGGCCTCCATCTTCTGTGAGCGTTTGGCAGCCCTGATAGCTCTTTCTTCTTTCTCCTGATTCTCCCGACACTTGTGGAAGTTCTCTACTACAACACCTACGAACATGTTCAGGACAAAAAAACCCACCAACAACAGGAATGAGATGAAGTATAGAAGACGCCACTCGTTGTAGTTGATTTGGGGCTGAAAAAATATATAACAATGCAGGTGATCCAGGGCTGAGACAATATCTAAACATTTTGACATTTCTGACACATGTTGTTATGATCTACTTCCTTGTTTTTCCTATTACCTACTTCCTTTTCTTTCTACAGACATATGTTTTTTCCATCTCATATTGCTAAAGACATATTTTGTTTTGACATGATATGGTGTTGCTAAAGACACATGTTGGTTTGACCTAACATTGCTACAGGCACATGTTGTTTGATCAAATACTGTTAGAGACACATGTTGTTTGATCAAATACTGCTAGAGACACATGCTGTTTGATCAAATACTGCTAGAGACACATGTTGTTTTAATCAAATACTGCTAGAGACACATGTTGTTTGATCAAATACTGCTAGAGACACATGTTGTTTTAATCAAATACTTCTAGAGACACATGTTGTTTTAATCAAATACTGCTAGAGACACATGTTTTTTTGACATAGTGTTGCTATCGACACCTGTTGTTTTAATCTACCTCCTATCATAGGGATAGAGACACATTGGTTTTACCTGTTGGTCTACACCGACAGCATCCAGCCCAGTATACATGATGCTGACCCACCCATCCTTGGATGCCAACACAAATAATGCCATAAGTGCCTGTAATAAATTAAATCAAGCTTATTCAGGAAGAGACTGATCATTTCATGTAGTCATAAGCCTCTAAAGTTTCACATATCAAGTTCCTGTCATCTATGATACACATAACAGTATAAAATGAAGTGTCTAAATAATGTTTCACATACTAATTTACTGTTATCATTGATTCATATTATCTATGAAATGTTTCACAATAACAATTTACTGGTAAGATTGATTCTTTTAACAGTATGAAATGTATTATAAAAGTGAAGTTTCACTGTCTAAGGTAACTGTACCTGTCCAAGATTAATCACCCTAACTGTTCCAGGTAACACTATCTGTCTAAGGTTACCCTACCTGTCCAAGATTAATCACCCTAACTGTTTCAGGTAACACTACCTGTCTACGGTTACCCTACCTGCCCAAGATTAATCACCCTAACTGTTCCAGGTAACACTATCTGTCTAAGGTAACTGTACCTGTCCAAGATTAATCACCCTAACTGTTCCAGGTAACACTATCTGTCTAAGGTAACTGTACCTGTCCAAGATTAATCACCCTAACTGTTCCAGGTAACACTATCTGTCTAAGGTTACCCTACCTGTCCAAGATTAATCACCCTAACTGTTTCAGGTAACACTACCTGTCTACGGTTACCCTACCTGCCCAAGATTAATCACCCTAACTGTTCCAGGTAACACTATCTGTCTAAGGTAACTGTACCTGTCCAAGATTAATCACCCTAACTGTTCCAGGTAACACTATCTGTCTAAGGTAACTGTACCTGTCCAAGATTAATCACCCTAACTGTTCCAGGTAACACTATCTGTCTAAGGTTACCCTACCTGTCCAAGATTAATCACCCTAACTGTTCCAGGTAACACTACCTGTCTAAGGTTACCCTACCTGTCCAAGATTCATCACCCTAACTGTTCCAGGTAACACTATCTGTCTAAGGTTACCCTACCTGTCCAAGATTAATCACCCTAACTGTTTCAGGTAACACTACCTGTCTAAGGTTACCCTACCTGTCCAAGATTAATCACCCTAACTGTTCCAGGTAACACTACCTGTCGAAGGTTACCCTACCTGTCCAAGATTAATCACCCTAACTGTTCCAGGTAACACTACCTATCTAAGGTTACCCTACCTGTCCAAGATTAATCACCCTAACTGTTTCAGGTAACACTACCTGTCGAAGGTTACCCTACCTGTCCAAGATTAATCACCCTACCTGTTCCAGGTAACACTACCTGTCTAAGGTTACCCTACCTGTCCAAGATTAATCACCCTAACTGTTCCAGGTAACACCACCTGTCTAAGGTTACCCTACCTGTCCAAGATTAATCACCCTACCTGTTCCAGGTAACACCACCTGTCTAAGGTTACCCTAACTGTCCAAGATTACCCTTACTTACATAGGTTACCAATATATCACAGGTTATCTTAGCTTCCCAGAGTAACTATGGCCCCAGCTATCTAACCTGTTCCAGGCTATCTTACCTGTTCCAGGCTATCTTACCTGCCCCAGGCTATCTTACCTGTTCCAGGCTACCTTACCTGTTCCAGGCTATCTTACCTGTCCAAGATTGTCAAAGTTGTACTTCTGGTTGATCCAAATATTACGAGGATCCTTTAAACATTGAGTCTTGTTCTTTACATGCTGTATATCAGGTCCCTTACAGTAGAAGAAGGAGCCTTTAAACAGCTGTAATCAATAGTATAAGTTATAAACAATAGTAATGGATACAATTACCAATAGATTTAATGCATAAAACAGTTATAAATAGCTGTAATAAATAGTTATAAACAGCTGTAATAAATACAGTTATAAATAGCTGTAATAAATACAGTTATAAATAGCTGTAATAAATACAGTTATAAATAGCTGTAATAAATAGTTATAAACAGCTGTAATAAATACAGTTATAAATAGCTGTAATAAATACAGCTATAAACAGCTGTAATAAATACAGTTATAAATAGCTGTAATAAATACAGCTATAAACAGCTTTAATAAATAGTTATAAACAGCTGTAATAAATACAGTTATAAATAGCTGTAATAAATAGTTATAAACAGCTGTAATAAATACAGTTATAAATAGCTGTAATAAATACAGCTATAAACAGCTTTAATAAATAGTTATAAACAGCTGTAATAAATACAGTTATAAATGGCTGTAATAAATACAGCTATAAACAGCTTTAATAAATAGTTATAAACAGCTGTAATAAATACAGTTATAAATGGCTGTAATAAATACAGCTATAAACAGCTGTAATAAATAAAGTTATAAAAGCTGTAATAAATATTATAAACAGCTATAATCAAAACTGTCATATCCCACTGTAATAAATTCCATTTTATAGAGCTATAATAAATACAATGATGAAGAACCTTACCTGCACCCCTAGAATGCCAAAGATGATGAAGAACCTTACCTGCACCCCTAGAATGCCAAAGATGATGAAGAAGGTACAGCAGATAAGAACGATGTTACCTATAGGTCTGAGTGAGGAAAGTAATGTCTGGACAACAAGCTTCAGTCCTGGTGCTCTACTTATCACTCTGAAGGAAACAAGCACATCAAATGGTAAAAAAATAGCTACCTTTAATACAGGTCAAGGTCATGTCATTTTGTAAACTTCTATGGGCTTTATCCTTGGAACATATCTGCCAATTATCATGCCTCTTGGCCTTTTCGTTCATGAGAAGAAAATGTTTAAATGTTTAAACAAATCTGATCCCTGTGACCTTGAATATAAGTCAAGGTCACTTCTTTTTGCAAACTTTGTTGGTCTCTATCCTAGGAACATATTAGCCAAATATCAAAGCATTTGGTTCAATGGTTATTGAGAAGGCAAAAGTCGACGTTGGCTGACAGATAAGTTGATAACAGACTACAGCATAAAATATATATATATATATCAGCAGTATACTTACTGTTAGTGTCTTAGTATTTCATTTACGGTTCAAACATTCCTATTTTGCTAAAATATTTAATTATTTTCTATCTGTTTTTTGAAAATCGACATTCATATTTTAGTAATTTAGTTTCGTAAATAATCAATTAATTTGCATTGAATGTAAATGTAGATTAAATGTAGGAGTAGGATTTTAAAGACTTTGCTCTATTTCCCCTATAGGGCCCTGTCCCTCAGGTCTCAGGGGCCTTCTAGTCAGTTTACTGTTCATATGATATTTGAAAGTTACAGCAGTACACAGAGGCACACATATATATTCCATTGTTACCTGAGAGGCCTAAGTGTGCGCAGTAACCTGAACACACGCAGAATGCCAAAGATTCTTGGGCTACTATTTGCTGTGAGAGAGATCATGATGTCCACAAGAGAAATTCCAACAAGAAAACCATCCATGATGTTCCAACCACTCTTTAGGTAGGCATGTTTTCCAATCAGGAGTCCCTTTGCCAGCACCTATAGATACCGAAGAGTACAAATTTCATGAAAAAAATATCATACAGCACATTACATATGTAGATAATGAACTTCAAAATCAGAAATATTTCAGAAAATAAACAGTATGCAACACACCACAAATGTATATTGTAGCATACATGTATGTAAATTACAAAGGTTTCACAAAAAATAATATAAAACACACAAAATAGCATTGTGCCATTGATTTCTTTCTCACAGGTAAATTTGTTGAGTCTATGGTATCGATATGCACAGACAAATCTTTCTGTGACCCTTCCCTAACTATTTCCATTATGTCATCAACATATTGTTTCAACAGGACGTGCTTTCTATGGGGGCTGTGGCTATTGCCTCTTTCTTCAAGTGCTCCATGAATAAGTTTGTCACAATTGAAGACACTGGGCTGCATATGAGTGAGCTAATTCCTTGCCGATAGATCTTGGAAGGCTAAGTATGTTGTTATCAGAACAAACTCTAATACATCCATGTCTTGGATATGGTGATTGATGTACTTTTGTCATGTCTTTCTCTAGGCTGCTCTAAATCATATCAAATACTATGTCAGTAGTTATGGTGGTAAAAAAACACTATGACTAGAGAAAAACATGACAAAAGAATTTCAATTTTTTTTTCATGTAAGTCCTCTGGACAAACTGCAAAATCTTTCGATTATTGACACAATGTTCTAATCTGCCATTGTCATTGTATTGATTTATCACAACAACACCAGAACATAGTACCATGTAAACAGACAATATCACAACAACAGAACATAGTACCATGTAAACAGACAATATCACAACAACACCAAAACATGGTACCATGTAAACAGACAATATCACAACAACAACAGAACAAAGTACCATGTAAGTAGACAATATCACAATGACACCAGAACATATATTATATAAATCTTTACCCACCTTTATGGTCATTTCCACAGCAAACACAATGGTGAAACCATAGTTTGAATAAGTCAGAAACATTCTCTCCTGTGAAGAAACCAAAAGAACATTACATTATTAGTCAAAAAGCCCAGACCAAGAGTCTAAGAGACATTGTGTCAACCCCTTAGTCTTAGGCCTGGGAGGTGGTTGGTGTCATCCTCCATTTATACTGTGTAATCAAACACCTAACCAAAATTTTGCTTAATCTATTTGTGATTGACTTAAACAGGACAGGAGAGGGGAGATAACTCACAGCACTATCTGGAGGAATATCTGGTCGCTCCATCCCTAGTGTAATACAGTTGAGGGCGATGAAAAGGAGAATCATGTTGTCAAACAAACTCTGGGCCATGAAATGATGACACAGTCGACGTAGCCTGGAAGTTCAATATTATATAGAAATTAGTTTGACTGATGTGACTGATGTGATTATTTGACTGATGTGATTATTTGACTGATGTGATTATTTGACTGCTGTGATTATTTGACTGATGTGATTATTTGACTGATGTGATTATTTGACTGATGTGACTGATGTGATTACTTGACTGATGTGATTATTTGACTGATGTGACTGATGTGATTATTTGACTGATGTGATTATTTGACTGATGTGACTGATGTGATTATTTGACTGATGTGACTGATGTGATTATTTGACTGATGTGATTATTTGACTGATGTGACTGATGTGATTATTTGACTGATGTGACTGATGTGATTATTTGACTGATGTGACTGATGTGATTATTTGACTGATGTGACTGATGTGATTACTTGACTGATGTGATTATATGACTGATGTGACTGATGTGATTACTTGACTAATGTGACTGATGTGATTATTTGACTGATGTGACTGATGTGATTATTTGACTGATGTGACTGATGTGATTATTTGACTGATGTGACTTATGTGATTACTTGACTGATGTGACTGATGTGATTATTTGACTGATGTGATTATTTGACTGATGTGACTGATGTGATTATTTGACTGATGTGATTATTTGACTGATGTGACTGATGTGATTATTTGACTGATGTGACTGATGTGATTATTTGACTGATGTGACTGATGTGATTATTTGACTGATGTGACTGATGTGATTATTTGACTGATGTGACTGATGTGATTATTTGACTGATGTGACTGATGTGATTATTTGACTGATGTGACTGATGTGATTATTTGACTGATGTGACTGATATGATTACTTGACTGATGTGACTGATGTGACTGATGTGATTACTTGACTGATGTGACTGATGTGATTATTTGACTGATGTGACTGATGTGATTATTTGACTGATGTGACTGATGTGATTATTTGACTGATGTGACTGATGTGATTATTTGACTGATGTGACTGATGTGATTATTTGACTGATGTGACTGATGTGATTATTTGACTGATGTGACTGATATGATTACTTGACTGATGTGACTGATGTGACTGATGTGATTACTTGACTGATGTGACTGATGTGATTATTTGACTGATGTGATTATTTGACTGATGTGACTGATGTGATTATTTGACTGATGTGACTGATGTGATTATTTGACTGATGTGACTGATGTGATTATTTGACTGATGTGACTGATGTGATTATTTGACTGATGTGATTATTTGACTGATGTGACTGATGTGATTATTTGACTGATGTGACTGATGTGATTATTTGACTGATGTGACTGATGTGATTACTTGACTGATGTGATTATTTGACTGATGTGATTATTTGACTGATGTGATTATTTGACTGATGTGATTATTTGACTGATGTGATTATTTGACTGATGTGATTATTTGACTGATGTGACTGATGTGATTATTTGACTGATGTGACTGATGTGATTATTTGACTGATGTGATTATTTGACTGATGTGATTATTTGACTGATGTGACTGATGTGACTGATGTGATTATTTGACTGATGTGACTGATGTGATTATTTGACTGATGTGACTGATGTGATTATTTGACTGATGTGACTGATGTGATTATTTGACTGATGTGACTGATGTGATTATTTGACTGATGTGACTGATGTGATTATTTGACTGATGTGACTGATGTGATTATTTGACTGATGTGATTATTTGACTGATGTGATTATTTGACTGATGTGACTGATGTGATTATTTGACTGATGTGACTGATGTGATTATTTGACTGATGTGACTGATGTGATTATTTGACTGATGTGACTGATGTGATTATTTGACTGATGTGATTACGTGACTGATGTGACTGATGTGATTATTTGACTGATGTGACTGATGTGATTATTTGACTGATGTGATTACTTGACTGATGTGATTATTTGACTGATGTGATTATTTGACTGATGTGACTGATGTGATTATTTGACTGATGTGACTGATGTGATTATTTGACTGATGTGACTGATGTGATTACTTGACTGATGTGATTATTTGACTGATGTGACTGATGTGATTATTTGACTGATGTGACTGATGTGATTATTTGACTGATGTGACTGATGTGATTATTTGACTGATGTGACTGATGTGATTATGTGACTGATGTGATTATTTGACTGATGTGACTGATGTGATTATTTGACTGATGTGATTACTTGACTGATGTGATTACTTGACTGATGTGATTATTTGACTGATGTGACTGATGTGATTATTTGACTGGTGTGACTGATGTGATTATTTGACTGATGTGATTATTTGACTGATGTGACTGATGTGATTATTTGACTGATGTGACTGATGTGATTATTTGACTGATGTGACTGATGTGATTATTTGACTGATGTGACTGATGTGATTATTTGACTGATGTGACTGATGTGATTACTGAACTGATGTGATTATTTGACTGATGTGATTATTTGACTGATGTGACTGATGTGATTATTTGACTGATGTGATTATTTGACTGATGTGACTGATGTGATTACTTGACTGATGTGACTGATGTGATTATTTGACTGATGTGATTATTTGACTGATGTGATTATTTGACTGATGTGACTGATGTGATTATTTGACTGATGTGATTATTTGACTGATGTGATTATTTGACTGATGTGATTACTTGACTGATGTGACTGATGTGATCATTTGACTGATGTGATTATTTGACTGATGTGACTGATGTGATTACTTGACTGATGTGACTGATGTGATTATTTGACTGATGTGATTATTTGACTGATGTGATTATTTGACTGATGTGACTGATGTGATTATTTGACTGATGTGACTGATGTGATTATTTGACTGATGTGATTATTTGACTGATGTGACTGATGTGATTATTTGACTGATGTGACTGATGTGATTATTTGACTGATGTGACTGATGTGATTATTTGACTGATGTGACTGATGTGATTATTTGACTGATGTGATTATTTGACTGATGTGATTATTTGACTGATGTGACTGATGTGATTATTTGACTGATGTGACTGATGTGATTATTTGACTGATGTGACTGATGTGATTATTTGACTGATGTGACTGATGTGATTACTTGACTGATGTGACTGATGTGATTACTTGACTGATGTGATTACTTGACTGATGTGACTGATGTGATTATTTGACTGATGTGACTGATGTGATTATTTGACTGATGTGACTGATGTGATTATTTGACTGATGTGACTGATGTGATTATTTTACTGATGTGACTGATGTGATTATTTGACTGATGTGACTGATGTGATTATTTGACTGATGTGACTGTTGTGATTATTTGACTGATGTGATTACTTGACTGATGTGACTGATGTGATTATTTGACTGATGTGACTGATGTGATTATTTGACTGATGTGATTATTTGACTGATGTGACTGATGTGATTACTTGACTGATGTGATTATTTGACTGATGTGACTGATGTGATTATTTGACTGATGTGACTGATGTGATTATTTGACTGATGTGACTGATGTGATTATTTGACTGATGTGACTGATGTGATTATTTGACTGATGTGACTGATGTGATTATTTGACTGATGTGACTGATGTGATTATTTGACTTATGTGACTGATGTGATTACTTGACTGATGTGACTGATGTGATTACTTGACTGATGTGATTATTTGACTGATGTGATTATTTGACTGATGTGACTGATGTGATTATTTGACTGATGTGACTGATGTGATTATATGACTGATGTGACTGATGTGATTATTTGACTGATGTGACTGATGTGATTATTTGACTGATGTGACTGATGTGATTATTTGACTGATGTGACTGATGTGATTATTTGACTGATGTGACTGATGTGATTATTTGACTGATGTGACTGATGTGATTATTTGACTGATGTGACTGATGTGATTATTTGACTGATGTGACTGATGTGATTATTTGACTGATGTGACTGATGTGATTATTTGACTGATGTGACTGATGTGATTATTTGACTGATGTGACTGATGTGATTACTTGACTGATGTGATTATTTGACTGATGTGACTGATGTGATTATATGACTGATGTGACTGATGTGATTATTTGACTGATGTGATTATTTGACTGATGTGACTGATGTGATTATTTGACTGATGTGACTGATGTGATTATTTGACTGATGTGATTACTTGACTGATGTGATTACTTGACTGATGTGACTGATGTGATTATTTGACTGATGTGACTGATGTGATTATTTGACTGATGTGACTGATGTGATTATTTGACTGATGTGATTATTTGACTGATGTGACTGATGTGATTATATGACTGATGTGACTGATGTGATTATTTGACTGATGTGATTATTTGACTGATGTGACTGATGTGATTATTTGACTGATGTGACTGATGTGATTATTTGACTGATGTGACTGATGTGATTATTTGACTGATGTGCCTGATGTGATTATTTGACTGATGTGACTGATGTGATTACTTGACTGATGTGATTATTTGACTGATGTGATTATTTGACTGATGTGACTGATGTGATTACTTGACTGATGTGATTATTTGACTGATGTGATTATTTGACTGATGTGACTGATGTGATTATTTGACTGATGTGACTGATGTGATTATTTGACTGATGTGATTATTTGACTGATGTGACTGATGTGATTATTTGACTGATGTGACTGATGTGATTATTTGACTGATATGACTGATGTGATTATTTGACTGATGTGACTGATGTGATTATTTGACTGATGTGACTGATGTGATTATTTGACTGATGTGACTGATGTGATTATTTGACTGATGTGACTGATGTGATTACTTGACTGATGTGATTATTTGACTGATGTGACTGATGTGATTATTTGACTGATGTGATTATTTGACTGATGTGACTGATGTGATTATTTGACTGATGTGACTGATGTGATTATTTGACTGATGTGATTATTTGACTGATGTGACTGATGTGATTACTTGACTGATGTGATTATTTGACTGATGTGACTGATGTGATTATTTGACTGATGTGATTATTTGACTGATGTGACTGATGTGATTATTTGACTGATGTGACTGATGTGATTATTTGACTGATGTGATTATTTGACTGATGTGACTGATGTGATTATTTGACTGATGTGACTGATGTGATTATTTGACTGATGTGACTGATGTGATTACTTGACTGATGTGATTATTTGACTGATGTGACTGATGTGATTATTTGACTGATGTGACTGATGTGATTATTTGACTGATGTGACTGATGTGATTATTTGACTTATGTGACTGATGTGATTACTTGACTGATGTGACTGATGTGATTACTTGACTGATGTGATTATTTGACTGATGTGATTATTTGACTGATGTGACTGATGTGATTATTTGACTGATGTGACTGATGTGATTACTTGACTGATGTGATTATTTGACTGATGTGACTGATGGGATTACTTGACTGATGTGACTGATGTGATTACTTGACTGATGTGATTATTTGACTGATGTGACTGATGTGATTATTTGACTGATGTGATTACTTGACTGATGTGATTATTTGACTGATGTGACTGATGTGATTACTTGACTGATGTGACTGATGTGATTACTTGACTGATGTGATTATTTGACTGATGTGACTGATGTGATTATTTGACTGATGTGACTGATGTGATTATTTGACTGATGTGATTACTTGACTGATGTGATTACTTGACTGATGTGACTGATGTGATTATTTGACTGATGTGACTGATGTGATTATTTGACTGATGTGACTGATGTGATTATTTGACTGATGTGACTGATGTGATTATTTGACTGATGTGACTGATGTGATTACTTGACTGATATGACTGATGTGATTATTTGACTGATGTGACTGATGTGATTATTTGACTGATGTGATTATTTGACTGATATGACTGATGTGATTACTTGACTGATGTGATTATTTGACTGATGTGACTGATGTGATTACTTGACTGATGTGATTATTTGACTGATGTGACTGATGTGATTACTTGACTGATGTGATTACTTGACTGATGTGATTACTTGACTGATGTGACTGATGTGATTATTTGACTGATGTGACTGATGTGACTGATGTGATTATTTGACTGATGTGATTATTTGACTGATGTGACTGATGTGATTACTTGACTGATATGACTGATGTGATTACTTGACTGATGTGACTGATGTGATTATTTGACTGATGTGATTACTTGACTGATGTGATTATTTGACTGATGTGACTGATGTGATTACTTGACTGATGTGATTACTTGACTGATGTGATTACTTGACTGATGTGATTATTTGACTGATGTGATTATTTGACTGATGTGATTATTTGACTGATGTGATTATTTGACTGATGTGATTATTTGACTGATGTGATTATTTGACTGATGTGATTATTTGACTGATGTGACTGATGTGATTACTTGACTGATGTGATTATTTGACTGATGTGACTGATGTGATTACTTGACTGATGTGACTGATGTGATTATTTGACTGATGTGACTGATGTGATTATTTGACTGATGTGATTATTTGACTGATTATTCTACAAATAGTTTGTTCTCATTAAAACAGAGATAGGTTTCCAAGGTTTCTTAATTCGTAATTCAATTAAGTAATATTTATATGTTTATGAAGTTGTTGAGATGATAGTGGTCTTACTTGTTGTTGTAAACACCTGTCTAAATATCTTACTTGTTTGATACACCTATCTAGATGTCTTACTTGCTGTTTGAAATATCTGTCTAAATGTCGTACTTGTTGTTTGAAACACCTGTCTAAATGTCTTACCTGTTGTTTAAAACACCTGTCTAAATGTCTTACTTGCTGTAAACACCTGTCTAAATGTCTTACTTGTTGTTGTAAACACCTGTCTAAATGTCTTATTTGTTGTTGTAAGCACCTGTCTAGATGTCTTACTTGTTGTTGTAAACACCTGTCTAGATGTCTTACTTGTTGTTTGAAACACCTGTCTAAATGTCTTACTTGTTGTTTGAAACACCTGTCTAGATGTCTTACCTGTTTGAAACACCTGTCTAGATGTCTTACTTGTTGTTGTAAACACCTGTCTAAATGTCTTACTAGTTGTTTGAAACACCTGTCTTAATGTCTTACTTGTTGTTGTAAACACCTGTCTAAATGTCTTACTTGTTGTTGTAAGCACCTGTCTAGATGTCTTACTTGTTGTTTGAAACACCTGTCTAGATGTCTTACTTGTTGTTGTAAACACCTGTCTAGATGTCTTACTAGTTGTTTGAAACACCTGTCTAAATGTCTTACTTGTTGTTGTAAACACCTGTCTAAATGTCTTACCTGTTGTTATAAACACCTGTCTAAATGTCTTACCTGTTGTTGTAAACACCTGTCTAAATGTCTTACCTGTTGTTGTAAACACCTGTCTAAATGTCTTACCTGTTGTTTGAAACACCTGTCTAAATGCCTTACTTGTTGTTTGAAACACCTGTCTAAATGTCTTACCTGTTGTTGTAAACACTTGTCTAAATGTCTTACCTGTTGTTATAAACACCTGTCTAAATGTCTTACTTGTTGTTGTAAACACCTGTCTAAATGTCTTACTTGTTGTTGTAAACACCTGTCTAAATGTCTTACTTGTTGTTGTAAACACCTGTCTAGATGTCTTACTTGTTGTTGTAAACACCTGTCTAAATGTCTTACTTGTTGTTGTAAACACTTGTCTAAATGTCTTACCTGTTGTTATAAACACCTGTCTTAATGTCTTACTTGTTGTTGTAAACACCTGTCTAGATGTCTTACTTGTTGTTGTAAACACCTGTCTAAATGTCTTACTTGTTGTTGTAAACACCTGTCTAAATGTCTTATTTGTTGTTGTAAGCACCTGTCTAGATGTCTTACTTGTTGTTGTAAACACCTGTCTAGATGTCTTACTTGTTGTTTGAAACACCTGTCTAAATGTCTTACCTGTTGTTTGAAACACCTGTCTAGATGTCTTACTTGTTTGAAACACCTGTCTAGGTGTCTTACTTGTTTGAAACACCTGTCTAAATGTCTTACCTGTTGTTGTAAACACCTGTCTAAATGTCTTACTTGTTGTTTGAAACACCTGTCTAAATGTCTTACTTGTTGTTTGAAACACCTGTCTAAATGTCTTACTTGTTGTTGTAAACACCTGTCTAAATGTCTTACCTGTTGTTGTAAGCACCTGTCTAGATGTCTTACCTGTTGTTAGGATGGAACAGGTACAATGAGTATTCCTTTCTCGTTTTGAAGCATCCTTTTGGCTCTGGGCACCAAGAACAGCTACAATTCTATATAAAATCAAACAAGATGTCTGTGAATCTTGACAGGATATTTGTGTCTCAGTGTAAATATAATAACTTAATATAATCACTTTGAGTTTCACATGGAGCAGATTAGAAATACACCATGAATGTTGCACAGAGATTCTACTGAATGTTAACATCTTTCAATGACAGCCCATCTGTTTATATTGTAATGCATCAACAAATTTCTACAGTAGACCATAATCGTCAAAAATACAATCCTTGGAACGATACAATAAACTGGAGATAAGCATAGTAAACACTGTGTGTCCAATCCAAACAACAAAATACTAGTCTTATGTATTTGGCTGTTAGCATGCAATTAATGTTTATCATCACCAGAAGTGAATAAATCTGGACTCAGATCCCTTGATCACAACAGAAGAAGAATATTTTTGACTGAGATCTCCTGAATATACTTGAGAAAGAAGAGACTTTACCAAGATCCCTTGAAGACATCAGAAGAGGAACTTTTTTGATAGAGATCCCTTGAGGACACTTCACAAGGGACATTTTTGACGGAAATACCTTCTACACAACAAAGGATATTTTTAACTAAGATACCATGAACACAACAGTGAAGAAACATTTTGACTGTGATCTGTGATCTGAATTATTACCTACATGGCTTTTTAGCCCCTGGAAGATGAATTGAGGTTTGAACTTTATCTTGTAAATCATTATCTTAGATAATAGTAATTTGATGATAATGGTGCATTAACAGGTGGAGGGTCTTCAGATGAAATGTAATTTAAAATGCCTATGAAGCTGGTGTACTAAATTCTCATATGAAAATAAGTAAAGACTACAAAGTGCAATGTAAAATGAAAAAAATAATAGCACTTTTTGGTTGAGATCAACATCTGATAAATGTCTGAATTTAACGTTACCGACATCAATGACTGATATTTTGTGGTTTGACATCAATGTCTGGTGTTTTGTGGTTTGACATCAATGTCTGATATTTCGTGGTCTAACATCAATGTCTGATATTTTGTGATCTGACATCAATGTCTGATATTTTGTGGTCTAACATCAATGTCTGACATTTTGTAATCTGACATCAATGTCTGACATTTTGAGATCTGACATCAATGTCGGGTGTTTTGTGGTCTGACATCAATGTCGGGTGTTTTGTGGTCTGACATCAATGTCTGATGTTTTGTGGTCTGACATCAATGTCTGGTCTTTTGTGGTCTGACATCAGGGTCTGATATTCTGTGCTCTGACATCAATGTCTGATGTTTTGTGGTCTGATATCAGGGTCTGATATTTTGTGGTCTGACATCAATGTCTGGTATTTTGTGGTCTGACATCAATGTCTGATGTTTTGTGGTCCAACATCAATGTCTGTTGTTTTGTAGTCTAACATCAATGTCTGATATTTTGTGATCTGACATCAATGTCTGATATTTTGTGGTCTGACATCAATGTCTGATATTTTGTGGTCTGACATCAATGTCTGATATTTTGTGGTCTGACATCAATGTCTGTTGTTTTGTGGTCTGACATCGATGTCTGGTGTTTTGTAGTCTAACATCAATGTCTGATATTTTGTGATCTGACATCAATGTCTGATATTTTGTGGTCTGACATCAATGTCTGGTGTTTTGTAGTCTAACATCAATGTCTGATGTTTTGTGATCTGACATCAATGTCTGATATTTTGTGGTCTGACATCAATGTCTGTTGTTTTGTGGTCTGACATCGATGTCTGGTGTTTTGTAGTCTAACATCAATGTCTGATATTTTGTGATCTGACATCAATGTCTGATATTTTGTGGTCTGACATCAATGTCTGGTGTTTTGTAGTCTAACATCAATGTCTGATGTTTTGTGGTCTGACATCAATGTCTGGTATTTTGTGGTCTGACGTCAATGTCTGATATTTTGTGTTATGACATCAATGTCTGTTGTTTTGTGGTCTGACATCAATGTCTGGTGTTTTGTAGTCTAACATCAATGTCTGATATTTTGTGATCTGACATCAATGTCTCATATTTTGTGGTCTGACATCAATGTCTGTTGTTTTGTGGTCTGATATTGATGTCTGGTGTTTTGTAGTCTAACATCAATGTCTGATATTTTGTGATCTGACATCAATGTCTGATGTTTTGTGGTCTGACATCAATGTCTGATATTTTGTGATCTGACATCAATGTCTGATATTTTGTGGTCTGACATCAATGTCTGATGTTTTGTGGTCTGACATCAATGTCTGATATTTTGTGATCTGACATCAATGTCTGGTCTTTTGTGGTCTGACATCAGGGTCTGATATTCTGTGCTCTGACATCAATGTCTGATGTTTTGTGGTCTGATATCAGGGTCTGATATTTTGTGGTCTGACATCAATGTCTGGTGTTTTGTGGTCTGATATTGATGTCTGATATTTTGTGATCTGACATCAATGTCTGGTGTTTTGTGGTCTGACATCAATGTGTGATGTTTTGTGATCTGACATCAATGTCTGGTCTTTTGTGGTCTGACATCAGGGTCTGATATTCTGTGCTCTGACATCAATGTCTGATGTTTTGTGGTCTGATATCAGGGTCTGATATTTTGTGGTCTGACATCAATGTCTGGTGTTTTGTGGTCTGACATCAATGTCTGTTGTTTTGTGGTCTGACATCAATGTCTAGTGTTTTGTAGTCTAACAGCAATATCTGATATTTTGTGATCTGACATCAATGTCTGATGTTTTGTGGTCTGACATCAATGTCTGTTGTTTTGTGGTCGGACATCAATGTCTGGTGTTTTGTAGTCTAACATCAATGTCTGATATTTTGTGATCTGACATCAACGTCTGATGTTTCGTGGTCTGACATCAATGTCTGGTCTTTTGTGGTCTGACGTCAATGTCCGATATTTTGTGATCTGACATCAATGTTTGGTGTTTTGTGGTCTGACATCAATGTCTGATGATTTGTGATCTGACATCAATATCTGGTCTTTTGTGGTCTGACATCAGGGTCTGATATTCTGTGCTCTGACATCAATGTCTGATGTTTTGTGGTCTGATATCAGGGTCTGATATTTTGTGGTCTGACATCAATGTCTGATGTTTTGTGGTTTGACATCAGGGTCTGATATTTTGTGGTCTGACATCAATGTCTGATGTTTTGTGGTTTGATATCAGGGTCTGATATTCTGTGCTCTGACATCAATGTCTGATGTTTTGTGGTTTGACATCAGGGTCTGATATTTTGTGGTCTGACATCAATGTCTGATGTTTTGTGGTCTGACATCAGGGTCTGATATTCTGTGCTCTGACATCAATGTCTGTTGTTTTGTGGTCTGACATCAATGTATGATGTTTTGTGGTCTGACATCAATGTCTGCTGTTTTGTGGTACTGACATCAATATCATCAATTTTGTGGTCTGACATCAATGTCTGATATTTTGTGATCTGACATCTGTCAGTACATACAAGCTTGTTTTTTGTGATGTTGACATCTGTCAGTACATAAAAGCTTGCTTTTTGTGATGTTGACATCTGTCAGTACACACAAGCTTGTTTTTTGTGATGTTGACATCTGTCAGTACATACAAGCTTGTTATTTGTGATGTTGACATCTGTCAGTACATACAAGCTTGTTTTTTGTGATGTTGACATCTGTCAGTACATACAAGCTTGTTTTTTGTGGTGTTCACATCTGTCAGGTGTACAAGTGTAATGGTTAGTGGTAACCATTATAGATTTCTCAAAACCACCAAAATTATATTCAATGTAGAGCAGTACCTACTCACCAGCATATCAGATAAAGCATTCACACACAGCCTAGAACTATTTAATGGCCAGTGCAGGGAAGCCTCTTCTCAGAGAAAAGACATGCAGTATGCCCTCCATTTTTTACAACTTCTCAGGTGAAATTTAATTTTTAATTTAGATGCAAAATAAAGGTAGGAATTTCTCACATTCATTGAACTATTTTTCAAGTCAAACAAATCACAAAAGAGTTTTCTGGAAGCACTACTAACTTTGTGGTGCAGCTAGTTCTAAGTGAAGTACCCTAGCTACTGCCCAGATGTGATAAATACTTACAGGGAGCCTCCTATGACAACCTTGTCCATGTGTAAGGGATGCCTTAGAGGTTGGAAAAGCCATCAAAGACATATTATCATAACATGCTTTATTTATCCAGGGTTACATATTAGACATGTCTGATTAACAATATGGCCTTGTAAGTTACACATAATCAAAATATTACTGTTTTCATCACTTACCAGTCTTGGTGTTAAAATGTTACAGGTTTCATCACTTACCAGGCTTAGTGTTACATATCACTAAAAATATTACAGGAATACTGTAAGCTATAGGGCCTATGTCGTTCACCTGGTTTGGTCTGGCTGAAATTGCTTCATGTAAACTAAGGGAAAGTATTGAAACAATTTATATCAGTTTCCCCTTTAAGGCTCCCGCCCCAAGGGGTCCAGAGCCATTAACTAAACAAAAAATAAGTCCAAAAGGAACCTATACATGAAATTTCAGAAACATCTATCAATACTTCTTAAGAAATAGTGATAGCAAACTTTTGAAGTCAAAATCCAAGATGGTCGCTTGTGGGCCATTTTGCTTTTTCTGATCAGTACTAAAATCAAACAGGCACAACTAGGGATCAAGGGAAACATACATGTGTAATTTGAAATAGATCTATGTTGTAGTTCTCAAGAAATAGCAAATCTTTAAGTCAAAATGAAGATGGCTGTCTGTCGGCCACTTTGTTTTTCTGATCAGTCCCAAAATCAAACAGGCACAACTAGCAACCAAACAGACCTTTAAAATTGAATTTAAGAAAAACACATCAGGTTCTTCTTAATAAATAGTGATAACAAACTTTCAAAGTCAAAATCCAAGATGGCCGCCTTTGGACCATTTTCTTTTTATTAGTCCCAAAATCAAACGATCACAACTAGGGACCAAGGAGGCCTTCACATCACAATTTGAGAAAGTTTCATCAAGAACTTATCAAGAAATAGCAATAATAAAAATTGTTCAGATGGATGATGGACGGAGGATGGACCACGCATGTAGGGCAATTTGAATAGCCCACATCTGATGATGGTGGGCTAAAAAAAGAAAAAAAAAAGGATTTTTTAAACTGATTTAAATCAATTTTCCATATTTCCCCTACTGGGCTCCATCCTTCTGGCCCTAGGCGAGTCTGTCCTGCCATTTGTAAAATAAGATGCCCAATGGGCCTACATCACTACTTGGTATTCAACATTCTCATCCGAATAGTCCTCTCTAAACCTTTCAGCCAAATATCATGATACTCCACCTTTGATGTTCACCAGTTGTATAATTTGTATTGGTAATTCAAATTTGACAGGAACCTACTGGTTTAATATCACTCTTCTAGACTATTTGGTTAATCAGAGTAAGCTATTTACAGTTTTGAAGGAATTTTACCCCTGTTACCTTGAATGATTTTTGCTGTGCTTCATCTTAGGAATCTATCACCTTATATCATGCTTCTAGACCCCTCAGCCACATGAGGATTAGACCTACAACTTGTACAACCTTTAAGAAGAAGTCAATTTAAGAAACCATTCATGAAGGAATGGAGGATAGATGACGAACACCACAGTAAGACATAATACTTACCTTTATCCTTTGGACCAGGTGAGCTAAAATTAGCTATAGAGATAGTGTAGGAAGGTAGGAATTAGAAACAATCATAGTTTGTTGTAGTATTCAATGTAAATACAGAGAAGAAAGTTTGATTACAAAAAATTACCGCTTCATCAATGGCATCAGGGTCTTCCTCTTCATCTTCTTCATCAGGCTGAGGTTCAACCACTGTGTCTGACGACAGGTTGTTCTGTTTGTAATCATCCTTAATGCCATTCACTGACGACAGAGAGTTCATCGTCCTGTGACTGGTAAAAGAGTTCTGGCGACTCAGAATAATAGAGTTACAGACACTCTGAGTACTGCTCACAGAATTATTGCGAATCTTGATGGAATTTCTTGGTGATGGAAATGGCGGTCTCTTTATGGAATTCTGTGGACTAAGTGTTCTCTGGTTGTTAAGGGGCAGATGTCCATTGCATTCAGGCCTGTCAAAATAATTGTAATTAGCTCTAACGAGAGAGGATGTCCTAGACATTATGACTTTTGTGTTTCCACTGTATAATGATCTTATTGTTACAATACTTTTGGAGAAAACATTCCACCATATGAAGATTGTTTTTGCATAAGGTTTGAGTTTGAATACTGCACACATGAGTTAATCCAAAAAATGAATTTTCCATTATTGCAACAAAAACATCACCGTTTGACTTCTGGGTCTAAAAAGTAATCCTTAGCAAGCACTTTTGGCAAGAAAGTATTGTATGGAGTTTGAGTTTTATTGGCCCAAAGAGAGCTCAAGTTTTATCATAGAAACCAGTTTTCTACTTAGAGTAACAGTAATCTGGACCAATGACTCTGGGACCTGAAAAGTGATCCAAAGCAAGCCATTTTTTAAGGAAGCATTGTATGAGGTTTGAGTTTGATTGGCTAAAGCAAACTTGAATTATCGCAGGGAAACTTATTTCTCTATATATAGTAACAGTGACCTTTGCCATTGACCTTCAAAACTGTAAAGCAATCCCAAGCAAACACATTCAATAAGGAGGTACTGTGTAGTTTGGGTTAGATTGGCAAAAGCAATCTCTAGTTTTCAAATGGAACAAATTTTCTATTTTTAGTCACAGTGATCTTGACCTCTGACCTTTGAAGATGAAAAACAGTCCCATGCAAGCTTTTTCAATAAGGAAGCACTGTATGAAGTTTGAGCTTGATCAGTCTAAGGAAACTCAAGTTATAGCACAGAAACAAAAAAGCCGATGGACAGAAAAACAAACCAATGGACACAACTGTTGGGCATTCATACTTTCGTGCGGGGCCCTAATTAAGAAGATTCAAATATGATTTTCAAGATGACAGTCATGGTAACCATACTTGATTTCAGACAGGCACTTAGTCACTACTATGTCAGGATCATTTTGGGCAAGTTTCAGCTCAATTCCACATGTGGAACTTAAACAGGATTTTAAAATGAAAAAAAATCACACTCTATGGACAGCTAGCCAATCAACACAGTTTTCAAATGTAAGGAGGAGAGCTTAGAATTTTCCAGTGTAAATCTCTCACAGCATTAACTTACCTGTTATTGACAATGATACAATTGGGCTGAAATACATCATCATCATCAGTGTCCATACTATCCAACTTAGAGTCAGGCACCAAGTAACGACGGTCGCCCTCCCTTGACCTTCGACCTTTCCAGCTGTTTCTACTTCCATAACTCTGTGAACGTCGTAGACATGGAGAAACCCTTGGAGAGAGACGTGGTGAGGAACGCACACTTAAATTGGTCTGAAGTAAACAAAGTATTATTTCTTTAGTTGAAAATTCCAGCTGATTGAATCTCAAGATAACAGTATAATAATGCTGTAAATATAGTATCATCAGTCAATGTAACTTAACATTTAGAAATCCTAAAAATAATAACTAGATAGTGAACACATATCACACACATCTTACTATCATAGTTAAAGCATTATTATTGTCGAAACTACATACAATACTAATAAAGCACAGAATAAAAATTGACAGGATATACAACATAGTGTGTATTGAAATGAGTCATTGAAGTCCGTGTGTAAAAAAATAATTTAGGAAAGAAAAGACATTTATCTATAACTAAATACAAGATGTAGAAAACTTTACCTCTCTATTAAAATATCTATACAGCTGTATGTTATTCATAGTAACTCAATAGAATGAATACCATAAAACAAATGTTCTGAAATTAAAACTCGAGACTATTTATAGTATATAAATAAAGAAAACATATGGCTGTGACATATGAGATACTGACAGAGGAGGACTTTGGTAGTAGTGAGATACTGACAGAGGGGGACTTTAGTAGTAGTGGGATACTGACAGAGGAGGACTTTGGTAGTAGTGAGATACTGACAGAGGGGGACTTTAGTAGTAGTGGGATACTGACAGAGGGGGACTTTGGTAGTAGTGGGATACTGACAGAGGATGACTTTGGTAGTAGTGAGATACTGACAGAGGGGGACTTTGGTAGTAGTGGGATACTGACAGAGGGGGACTTTGGTAGTAGTGGGATACTGACAGAGGAGGACTTTGGTAGTAGTGAGATACTGACAGAGGGGGACTTTGGTAGTAGTGAGATACTGACAGAGGAGGACTTTGGTAGTAGTGAGATACTGACAGAGGGGGACTTTGGTAGTAGTGAGATACTGACAGAGGGGGACTTTGGTAGTAGTGGGATACTGACAGAGGAGGACTTTGGTAGTAGTGAGATACTGACAGAGGGGGACTTTGGTAGTAGTGAGATACTGACAGAGGAGGACTTTGGTAGTAGTGAGATACTGACCGAGGGGGACTTTGGTAGTAGTGAGACACTGACCGAGGGGGACTTTGGTAGTAGTGAGATACTGACCAAGGAGGACTTTGGTAGTAGTGGGATACTGACCGAGGAGGACTTTGGTAGTAGTGAGATACTGACAGAGGATGACTTTGGTAGTAGTGGGATACTGACCGAGGGGGACTTTGGTAGTAGTGAGATACTGACAGAGGATGACTTTGGTAGTAGTGAGATACTGACCGAGGGGGATTTTGGTAGTAGTGAGATACTGACCGAGGAGGACTTTGGTAGTAGTGGGATACTGACCGAGGAGGACTTTGTTAGTAGTGGGATACTGACCGAGGAGGACTTAGATGATGTTGATCCTCGTGGTGGATGGACACTGAGTGTAGCTTTGTTGTAATCCTTACATCCATGTTCATTTGGTGAACCTTGGGGAGTAGGCATTGGTGTGGCTGCTGTGTGTGTGATGATTGGTGGGTCAGGGGTACATTTCACCTTGTTTTCCTCTTTAATAATTGTCACTGGACACATTGCTAGCATTTTCTCTGCAACAAACACAATTTGTAGTTCATCAATAATACTTTTCTTCACACACTTTCAGTTTCATTTTCAGAGATGTTTTTGTTAATAAATGGGATCATTATTCTGTATATAGTGTATAGTGACTTTGTTTTGCTTACAATTCATGTTGATATGGTGCAGTACATAATGTATGGTGACCCTGTCCTGTTCATAATGTATGGTGACCCTGTCCTGTTTATAATGTATGGTGACCTTGTCCTGTATATAATGTATGGTGACCCTATCCTGTATATAATGTATGGTGACCCTGTCCTGTTTATAACGTATGGTGACCCTGTCCTGTATATAATGTATGGTGACCCTGTCCTGTTTATAATGTATGGTGACCCTGTCCTGTATATAATGTATGGTGACCCTGTCCTGTATATACTGTATGATGACCTTGTCCTGTTTATAATGTATGGTGACCCTGTCCTGTATATAATGTATGGTGACCCTGTCCTGTATATAATGTATGGTGACCCTGTCCTGTATATACTGTATGATGACCTTGTCCTGTATATAATGTATGGTGACCCTGTCCTGTATATACTGTATAATGACCTTGTCCTGTATATAATGTATTATGACCTTGTCCTGTTTATAATGTATGGTGACCCTGTCCTGTTTATAATGTATGGTGACCCTGTCCTGTATATAATGTATGGTGACCCTGTCCTGTTTATAATGTATGGTAACCCTGTCCTGTATATAATGTATGGTGACCCTGTCCTGTATATAATGTATGATGATCCTGTCCTGTATATAATGTATGGTGACCCTGTCCTGTATATAATGTATGGTGACCCTGTCCTGTATATAATGTATGATGACCCTGTCCTGTTTATAATGTGTGGTGACCCTGTCCTGTATATAATGTAAGGTGACCCTGTCCTGTATATAATGTATAGTGACCCTGTCCTGTATATAATGTATGATGACCTTGTCCTGTGTATAGTATAAGGTGATATATGACCTTGACTTGCTTACCTTTTTCTTTGTTGTTGATTTTCACCTGTACCATGTCAATGGTCTTCAGCTTGATTGTTTCATTTTTCTCCTCATTATTATTGGTCTCGGACGTCACAGACTGTACTTCCTTTACTTTGCATTCCCTCATTTTCTTTTTTTCTTCCTCCTGATATGACAAGCAAAGATGTCATTTAATTTGAATAATAATCTTACATAAGGGGAATAGCAAATCGACTTCATATCATCCATTACTCCTTTGTTCAAAACCATGTCACCTAACAAGAGATCCAAGAGGGATCTTGGCGCCCACCATTATTATTTGATCTTAAATAGCTCTTTGAATGCTGGATCTTTTTACCTCTTTTCTCTTCTCTTCTCTCTTTGTCTTAATGATAAGAAATCTGAACATTTCTTTGCAGAAATAGTCTTAATAATCTTTACCTGCTAAATCCAAAATGTCATAAAATCAAAAGGGCACAAGAAGAGACCAAAGGGAACATATGTATGAAATCTGAGAGAGATCCATTCAGTACCTCTTAAGAAATGATAAACTCCATCATAAAATCAAAGATGGCCATCTGTAGGCCACTTTCTTTTTCTGATCAGCACCAAAATAAAACGGGCACAACTAGGTATTAAGGGAAACAAACACAAGAAATATGAGAAAGATCTATGCTGTAGTTATTAAGAAATAGCAAAAACAACCTTTCAAAATCAAATAAAAAATTGTCTCCTGGCCATTTTTTAATTTTGTTAAAACCCAGAATCAAATGGGTACAACTAGAGACCAAGGGGAACCTACATCTGCAATTTGAGAAAGATCCATCCAGCATTTCTCATGAAATAGCGATAACAAAACTAGTTTATGGACAGATTGATTAATTTAAAAAAAAACCCCGTGAAAACAGAAAAAGCTAGAAATGAGTAGGTATGGCAGGAGTATTAGTGAACAACACTATATTGTGTATAAAGCTTACCAGGAACTAAGGAGGTATTTATATACTGTAGGGAGAGTTGTCTGGTCAAGGTTGTCTGCAGCAAAAGGGGCATAACTCCCATCAAGATAGACAAATTAACAAGAATTGAGCACAGCGTTTAATATCTGTGCTAAATACATAAGTGATGTAGGAGTTGTTCAGACAAGATTCCATCCGCGCATAACTCCTATTAAACTTGTCTGATCCCAAAATTAACTGCATTCCCATGACTTCATTGTTTGCTGACTACGTCAGTGAAGACAAAATTCAATATTCTGTCTAGTAAAAAGGAGAGTAGCTACAACAACAGATCCCACAGGGCACCTAACATTGTTTTATCTGTATTTGTCTATAAAAATTGGATCTTTTCCTTTTGTTATCATTCTTTATTTAATCTCTCCAAGGAAATAAATATATAACTGTCAAATCCAAGATGGTCACTTGTTTGTCATTTTGTTGTTCGGACCAGTCCCAAAATCAAAAGACAAACCTTTCTACAAAGTCTGACAATGATGCACCAATTACCTGAAATCCCACAAGTCCATATATAGTCCCTAAAATTCCTGTGTAATTTCATTGGAACTGGTTTGCAAGTTTTGGAGGAATGGTCTGGACAACATTTTTCTACGGACAGATGCAAGAAGGACAAAGAAAATTTGAATAGCCCATCATTTGGTATATATAGTTTTATCTAAGTTTCTGTGTCACAGAAGAATGGACTGTCAATGTCATATGTACCAGCCTTAATATTTTCAGAGGGAGGGTGATTATGCTTAAATTATTCTGTCCAAGTCTGATAGACAGAACAAGTCTTACATCTGTTGAGAATCCTTCCACCAAGATGGCTACAAGCAAGTTGAATAGGACGTAATTTCCAAACGTCATTAGAGCAATGAAATAAAGTGATGCCCAGGCAGAGGTTGTCTCCATGCCATTGTATAACACAGTGTTCCAGTCTTCTTGTGTTAGTACCTGGATCAAAAACGTGAAAAAGTCAAGGCCAAAATGGTATCATTTGTTATATCTTACGTTCTATCCATAAGATAGAGAACAAACATTACTAATGCAGAAGTTCCATCAATTAATAATGGATTCATTCAGAAGGTATATCCACCTTAATTTATCAAAAAAAATTTACTATTCCAGTTTATACAAATATTAAGTGGAATATAAATATTTTTGTACTTGCAGACAGATATCTATTATTTACTTACGATATCTACAACAATGATACATACTATTCCTCAGCTGGATTGATGTGATTACATCAGGTCATTAGCTCTGGTTGGTTATGGCAGTTAACTGTTCTAAACAGTGATGATCACACACAATTTCTACAGGACTAGATTACACTAATACAGATATACAGCGATTATACAATTCTAATACAGATATACAGCGATTATACAAATCTAATACAGTAATACAGCGATTATACAAATCTAATACAGGTATACAGCAGTTATACAATTCTAATATAGGTATACAGCGATTATACAATGCAGGTATATATATGTCTATATATACACACACAGCTCTGATACAGGTCTAATGCATACAAATATATACATGTATAGTGCGATTATGAAGTTCTTATACAAATATATACAGCTGCAATCTGGAAATTCTTCATGTTGCTTAACACTAAATAGTGTAATTACATGTAAACATTGACCAAATGATATTACATAATAAGTGACCTACAGGTTTTATCTGAGGTAATTAGTAAGGAATCAGTGTAATTACATGAAGTCATTGACCAACTGGTATAATTACAGGTAAAATGACCAACTGGTATAATTACAGGTAAAAATGACCAACTGATATAATTACAGGTAAAATGACCAACTGGTATAATTACAGGTAAAATGACCAACTGGTATAATTACAGGTAAAAATGACCAACTGGTGTGATTACAGGTAAAAATGACCAACTGGTATAATTACAGGTAAAATGACCCACTGGTATAATTACAGGTAAAAATGACCAGCTGATATAATTACAGGTAAATATGACCAACTGGTGTGATTACAGGTAAAAATGACCAACTGGTATAATTACAGGTAAAAATGGCCAACTTATGTGATTACAGGTAAAAATGACCAACTGATGTGATTACAGGTAAAAATGACCAACTGTATAATAACAGGTAAAAATGACCAACTGGTGTAATTACAGGAAATAATGACCAACTGGTGTGATTACAGGAAATAATGACCAACTGGTGTGATTACAGGTAAAAATGACCAACTGGTAAAATTACAGGTAAAAACAACCAACTGTTGTGATAACAGATAAAAATGTCCAACTGGTATAATTACAGGTAAAAATGACCAACTAGTCTGATAACAGGTAAAAATGACCAACTGGTATAATTACAGGTAAATATGACCAACTGTTGTGATAACAGGTAAAATTGTTCAACTGGTATAATTACAGGTAAAAACGACCAACTGGTATAATTACAGGTAAAATCGACCATTTGTTGTGATAACAGGTAAAAATGTCCAACTGTTATAATTACAGGTAAAAGCGACCAACTGGTATAATTACTGGTAAAAATGACCAACTGGTATAATTACAGGTAAAAATTACCAACTGGTATAATTACAGGTAAAAATGACCAACTGGTAAAATTACAGGTAAAATTGACCAACTGTTGTGATAACAGGTAAAGATGTCCTACTGGTATAGTTACAGGTAAAAATGACAGCTGGTATAATTACAGATAAAATGACAAATTGGTATAATTACAGGTAAAAATGACCAACAGGTGTGATTACAAGTAAAAATGACCAACTGGTATAATTAAAGGTAAAAATGACCAACTAGTATAATTACAGGTAAAAATGACCAATTGGTATAATTAAAGGTAAAAATGACCAACTAGTATAATTACAGGTAAAAATGACCAATTGGTATAATTAAAGGTAAAAATGACCAACTGGTATAATTACAGGTAAAAATGACCAACTGGTATAATAACAGGTAAAAATCTACAAACTCATGTGATTACATGTATACTGTATAACACCTGGAATATAATATGTCAGTAAAACAAAAGGCATGTAGAATGATATGATAGTAAATGAGTCCACAATGATTAGTAAAAGACTTAAGGCCACATCAAGGAGGTCTGAAATTTATTGTACATTATTTATGTAAAATCCTTCTGACAAATGGAATGTCTAGTTTCTACAGGATGTGTTGACCTACTATCATTACAATTTCTGAAGTAGCACATTTCTTCCTAAAATTTTTCTGATCCTTAGTAAACACTACAATCACTTTCCAAAGTAAGTGAAAATTTGAAAAGAAATATGTATAAGGACAGTGACCCACAGAGATACCCAGAGAGACCAGGTGACTGGACAAGAGACTCACAGAAATATAGTATCAACACAAGTGACAATGACATAGTATGCCCAAACAAGAAACCTATCCAGTGCCCTGACAAGCGACCAATCTGATCCTCTGACAAGAGGCTAGGGAAGACCTAGTGACTTGACTAGAGACCCATAGAGATAGGGTGCCCAGACAAGAAACGCACAGCAATATGGCGCTCACATAAGAGACCAATTGAGATAGGGTGCCCAAATAAGAGACCCAAAGAAGTATGGTGCACACACAAGTGACCAATCTTGTGAATAGATAAGAGGACCATCTGCTACAAGAGACCCAAGGAGACCTGGTGATTAGACAAGAGACCCACAGGACATATGGTGCCCAGATTAGAGACCCACAGAGATATGATGACCAGATTAGAGACCCACAGAGATATGGTGCCCAGATAAAAGACCCACAGAGATAAGGTGCCCAGATAAGAGACCAACAGAGATATGATGCCAAGGTAAGAGACCCACGGAGATATGGTGCCCAGATTAGAGACCCACAGAGATATGATGACCAGATTAGAGACCCACAGAGATATGGTGCCCAGATAAAAGACCCATAGAGATATGGTGCCCAGATTAGAGACCCACAGAGATATGGTGCCCAGATAAAAGACCCATAGAGATAGGGTGCCCAGATAAGAGACCCATAGAGATTTGGTGCCTAGATAAGAGACATACAGAGATAGGGTGCCCAGATAAGAGACCCACACCCAAGGAGATTTTGTGCCTGAAAAAGATACCAAGGAAGATCTGGTATCCAGACAAAGATCATAAGTGTTGTACTGCTCAGACAAACAACCCAAAGAGATCTGAAACTCAACCATCTAATCTCTCATAAATCAGAGGCAAAAGATTTCATTCCTTTGTTATTAAGAGGTCATGTTTTCAAAATAATCATAAAAAAAAGAAAAAAAAAATCCCACTAGACCAGAAATGAATATGAGTTTTTATCCCCCTAGACCTTTTACATGGCTTCAATGTTTTCATATCAAAGATATAAAATGTGACCTTTACAAACCTGACCTTTGAACATATGAAACTAACATACCTGACCTTTGACCATATGAAACTAACATACCTGACCTTTGACCTTATGAAACTAACATATCTGACCTTTGACCTTATGAAACTAACATATCTGACCTTTGACCATACACCAACAACATTCTGACTCAAAATGTCCTGCTACAAGTGTTGAGAAGTTTGAAATACAACCTCACTTATGGTTGCAATTCTGATCACAGGCATCAATGTGGCAAGTACAACACACTTCCAAACTGTACATTTTGAAAATTTCACATGCCAATATAATGCATTTAAGATAACCTTTGGCAGACACTTTAAAAGTCTAATCAAGCTTGGTATGTGGCATGCATAAAACTGACTTTGACTAAAAGATTAAAGAAGATCTGCAGTTCTATAGAAATATTGATAGGACATGTTGTCACAATAATTAAAGAAGATCTGTAGTTCTTTAAAAATAGTGGTAGAAAACTTTAACAAAATTTGATTGCAATATGGCATGAGCAACTCGGACCCCTATCTACATACCTATCTCTGATGTTAATGATTGCTCTAGCTGTTCTTGAGAAATAGCAGTAACAAACAGTCCAAATAAAAAGACACTGATGCCCATTTTTCGATATTGATTCAAAACTTAAAATCATGGCATTGGCATCTAGTTCCTTTAGATTTCATAAAATCCTTTCAGAAATTCCTGAGAATCAGTGATAACACTTTCAAAATCTCCTATGACTGCTGGAGGCAGTCTTCAACATTTTATCGAGCTTGAAAAGTGACATCTAGATCAGAGATACTCTCTGTTAAGACTTTTTTTATCTCTACATAAATATTGAGACAAAAAATGTCTACAGGCATACTGATGGATAAATTGATGGACTGACAAACTCATGAATTGGTACAAATGAAAGAGATTTGAAAGACTACCATCAAATGTTCATGGTTAATTTTTTTAGAAAACAGGGAAGTTTATATAAGAGGAAAGTGCATGATTTGGTAAGAAAAACAAGGATCCTGTCGAGAGAGTTGGGTAGGATGGTAAACAACAAAGAAATATGCTGTATGTAAAACATACCAATGAACCTGATCAGCTGCATCTAAAACATACTAATAACCCTGATCAGCTATATGTAAAAGAATACCAATGAACTTGATCAGTTGTATGTAAAACATACCAATAACCCTGATCAGCTGTATGTAAAACATACCAATGAACCTGATCAGCTTTATGTAAAACATACCGATAACCCTGATCAGCAGTATGTAAGACATACCAATAACCCTGATCAGCTGTGTGTAAAAGATAATTCCTGATCAAGTGAATATATATGGGACTTTTGAAGGAGATGATATCTTTGGATGCTGTGTAATCTACCTTGATATGGCCTTATGTTAGTGTTTACCTGAAATACAGTCACCAAGGACCACAACAAGCTGTTAAAATTGGCTCGATCACAAACGCAGCGTAGGGCAGGGTTAGACTCATCCGCACAAGTGCAGGGGATTCCCTCGTCACGCCAACAAAACTTGCCACCAAACAAATTCATGCCCAGTACACTGCATGCACAAAACACAGAAAGCCATAGCAACACAGGTTATATTACAACCAAACCATCAAGTTAGTATAAATCTATACTAAAATCATAATTAAGGAACCAAACTTCAAGTTAGTACAAATTTATACCCATAGAACAAATCAATACACAGGTAAGTAGATACCTAACCATCAGTACAAATCAATACACAGGTAAGTAGATACCTAACCATCAGTACAAATCAATACACAGGTAAGTAGATACCTAACCATCAGTACAAATCAATACACAGGTAAGTAGATACCTAACCATCAGTACAAATCAATACACAGGTAAGTAGGTACCTATCCATCAGTACACAGGTAAGTAGGTACCTAACCATCAGTACAAATCAATACACAGGTAAGTAGATACCTAACCATCAGTACAAATCAATACACAGGTAAGTAGATACCTAACCATCAGTACAAATCAATACACAGGTAAGTAGGTACCTAACCATCAGTACAAATCAATACACAGGTAAGTAAGAACCTAACAAATCAATACACAGGTAAGTAGATACCTAACCATCAGTACAAATCAATACACAGGTAAGTAGATACCTAACCATCAGTACAAATCAATACACAGGTAAGTAGGTACCTAACCATCAGTACAAATCAATACACAGGTAAGTAAGAACCTAACAAATCAATACACAGGTAAGTAGATACCTATCCATCAGTACAAATCAATACACAGGTAAGTAGGTACCTAACCATCAGTACAAATCAATACACAGGTAAGTAGATACCTAACAAATCAATACACAGGTAAGTAGATACCTAACCATCAGTACAAATCAATACACAGGTAAGTAGATACCTAACAAATCAATACACAGGTAAGTAGGTACCTAACCATCAGTACAAATCAATACACAGGTAAGTAGGTACCTAACCATCAGTACAAATCAATACACAGGTAAGTAGATACCTAACAAATCAATACACAGGTAAGTAGATACCTAACCATCCGTACAAATCAATACACAGGTAAGTAGGTACCTATCCATCAGTACAAATCAATACACAGGTAAGTAGATACCTATCCATCAGTACAAATCAATACACAGGTAAGTAGGTACCTAACCATCAGTACAAATCAATACACAGGTAAGTAGATACCTAACAAATCAATACACAGGTAAGTAGGTACCTAACCATCAGTACAAATCAATACACAGGTAAGTAGGTACCTAACCATCAGTACAAATCAAAACAAAGATAAGAAAAAAACCTGTTAAGTAAGATCAAATCTACATTCATTTATGCACACTGTAGAATGTACTACCTGAATATCTATATAAACCACAGATTACACTTCCTGAATATCTATATACACCACAGAATGCACTTCCTGAATATCTATATACACCACAGAATGCACTTCCTGAATATCTATATACACCACAGAATACACTTCCTGAATATCTATATACACCACAGAGTATACGTCCTGAATATCTATATACACCACAGAGTATACTTCCTGAATATCTATATACACCACAGAATACACTTCCTGAATATCTATATACACCACAGAATACACTTCCTGAATATCTATATACACCACAGAGTATACTTCCTGAATATCTATATAAACCACAGAATACACTTCCTGAATATCTATATACACCACAGAGTATACTTCCTGAATATCTATATACACCACAGAGTATACTTCCTGAATATCTATATACACCACAGAATACACTTCCTGAATATCTATATACACCACAGAATGCACTTCCTGAATATCTATATACACCACAGAATACACTTCCTGAATATCTATATACACCACAGAGTATACGTCCTGAATATCTATATACACCACAGAGTATACTTCCTGAATATCTATATACACCACAGAATACACTTCCTGAATATCTATATACACCACAGAATACACTTCCTGAATATCTATATACACCACAGAGTATACTTCCTGAATATCTATATAAACCACAGAATACACTTCCTGAATATCTATATACACCACAGAGTATACTTCCTGAATATCTATATACACCACAGAATGCACTTCCTGAATATCTATATACACCACAGAATACACTTCCTGAATATCTATATACACCACAGAATACACTTCCTGAATATCTATATACACCACAGAGTATACTTCCTGAATATCTATATACACCACAGAGTATACTTCCTGAATATCTATATACACCACAGAATACACTTCCTGAATATCTATATACACCACAGAGTATACTTCCTGAATATCTATATACACCACAGAGTATACTTCCTGAATATCTATATACACCACAGAGTATACTTCCTGAATATCTATATAAACCACAGAATACACTTCCTGAATATCTATATACACCACAGAGTATACTTCCTGAATATCTATATACACCACAGAATGCACTTCCTGAATATCTATATACACCACAGAGTATACTTCCTGAATATCTATATACACCACAGAATACACTTCCTGAATATCTATATACACCACAGAGTATACTTCCTGAATATCTATATACACCACAGAATACACTTCCTGAATATCTATATACACCACAGAGTATACTTCCTGAATATCTATATACACCACAGAATACACTTCCTGAATATCTATATACACCACAGAGTATACTTCCTGAATATCTATATAAACCACAGAATACACTTCCTGAATATCTATATACACCACAGAGTATACTTCCTGAATATCTATATACACCACAGAGTATACTTCCCGAATATCTATATAAACCACAGAATACACTTCCTGAATATCTATATACACCACAGAGTATACTTCCTGAATATCTATATACACCACAGAATGCACTTCCTGAATATCTATATACACCACAGAGTATACTTCCTGAATATCTATATACACCACAGAATACACTTCCTGAATATCTATATACACCACAGAGTATACTTCCTGAATATCTATATACACCACAGAATACACTTCCTGAATATCTATATACACCACAGAGTATACTTCCTGAATATCTATATACACCACAGAATACACTTCCTGAATATCTATATACACCACAGAGTATACTTCCTGAATATCTATATAAACCACAGAATACACTTCCTGAATATCTATATACACCACAGAGTATACTTCCTGAATATCTATATACACCACAGAGTATACTTCCCGAATATCTATATACACCACAGAATGCACTTCCTGAATATCTATATACACCACAGAGTATACTTCCTGAATATCTATATACACCACAGATTACACTTCCTGAATATCTATATACACCACAGAGTATACTTCCTGAATATCTATATACACCACAGAGTATACTTCCTGAATATCTATATACACCACAGAGTATACTTCCTGAATATCTATATACACCACATAATACACTTCCTGAATATCTATATACACCACAGAGTATACTTCCTGAATATCTATATACACCACAGAGTATACTTCCTGAATATCTATATACACCACAGAATGCACTTCCTGAATATCTATATACACCACAGAGTATACTTCCTGAATATCTATATAAACCACAGAGTATACTTCCTGAATATCTATATACACCACAGAATGCACTTCCTGAATATCTATATACACCACAGAATGTACTTCCTGAATATCTATATACACCACAGAGTATACTTCCTGAATATCTATATACACCACAGAGTATACTTCCTGAATATCTATATACACCACAGAATACACTTCCTGAATATCTATATACACCACAGAGTATACTTCCTGAATATCTATATACACCACAGAATACACTTCCTGAATATCTATATACACCACAGAGTATACTTCCTGAATATCTATATACACCACAGAGTATACTTTCTGAATATCTATATACACCACAGAGTATACTTCCTGAATATCTATATAAACCACAGAATACACTTCCTGAATATCTATATACACCACAGAGTATACTTCCTGAATATCTATATACACCACAGAATATACTTCCTGAATATCTATATAAACCACAGAATACACTTCCTGAATATCTATATACACCACAGAGTATACTTCCTGAATATCTATATACACCACAGAATACACTTCCTGAATATCTATATACACCACAGAATACACTTCCTGAATATCTATATACACCACAGAGTATACTTCCTGAATATCTATATACACCACAGAATACACTTCCTGAATATCTATATACACCACAGAGTATACTTCCTGAATATCTATATACACCACAGAGTATACTTCCTGAATATCTATATAAACCACAGAATACACTTCCTGAATATCTATATACACCACAGAGTATACTTCCTGAATATCTATATACACCACAGAGTATACTTCCTGAATATCTATATACACCACAGAATGCACTTCCTGAATATCTATATACACCACAGAGTATACTTCCTGAATATCTATATAAACCACAGAATACACTTCCTGAATATCTATATACACCACAGAGTATACTTCCTGAATATCTATATACACCACAGAATGCACTTCCTGAATATCTATATACACCACAGAGTATACTTCCTGAATATCTATATACACCACAGAGTATACTTCCTGAATATCTATATACACCACAGAGTATACTTCCTGAATATCTATATACACCACAGAGTATACTTCCTGAATATCTATATACACCGCAGAATGTACTTCCTGAATATCTATATAAACCACAGAATACACTTCCTGAATATCTATATACACCACAGAGTATACTTCCTGAATATCTATATACACCACAGAGTATACTTCCTGAATATCTATATACACCACAGAGTATACTTCCTGAATATCTATATACACCACAGAATGTACTTCCTGAATATCTATATACACCACAGAATGTACTTCCTGAATATCTATATACACCGCAGAGTATACTTCCTGAATATCTATATACACCGCAGAATGTACTTCCTGAATATCTATATACTCTGACAA